CCATTTCTGAAGAAGGGTTCAGGCCCGAAATGTCAGCTTTCCTGCTCCTCTGATGCTGCTTGGCCTACTGTGTTCATCCAGCTCTACACCTTGTTGTCTCAAATGAGCAGACACCTGGCAGGTGAGTGTCAAAGCAGAGAAATGTGAGGTAATGCATTTTTGCAGAAAAAACACAGAGAGACAATACAGACTCAAGGGTAAAACTTTGAAGGGAGCTCAGGAGCAGAGGGACCTCAGAATTCTCGTACATGATTCTCTGAAGGTGGCCAGGCAAGTTGAAACAGTTGTTAAAAGAGGTTTATAGGATCCTTGTATAGAGGCATAGAGTATAAAAGCAAGGAAGTGATGCTGCACCTCTACAGATCATTGGTCAGACCACTTTTAGTGTTGTGTTCAGTTCTGGGTGCCTTATTTAAGGAAGGGTGGTACCATCCTGGAGAGAGCGCAAAGGAGATTCACCAGAACGATACCAGGAATGAAGGAGTTTGGGTACAAGGAAACATTAGAGAAGGTTAAGAGATGACATTATTGAGGTGTTTAAAATTATGGATAATTTCCACTGTATAAAGAAGGCTATTCTGTTTCCACTAGTTGGTAGGTCGGTAACAAGGAGTCAAAATTTCAAGATTGTCAGCAAGAGAGCTAGGAGTGAGATTAGGAGAAACTTCTTTGGTTGTGTTACAATCCAATGGTTTGGTTACAATCCAACTCCACAACCAAAGAGATATTTCCCTCTCCACCTCTATCTGCCTTCCATAGGGACCGCTCTCCCCGTGACTCCCTCGTCAGCTCCACACTCCCCACTAACCCCACCATCCCCGGCACCGTTCCCTGCAACCACAGGAAGTGCTACACCAGCCCCTACACCTCCACCCTCCGCTCCATTTAAGGCACAATACAAACCTTCCACATTAGACAGGGGTTCACCTGCACATCCGTCAATGGGGTCTACTGCATCCGCTGCTCCCGATGTGGCCTCCTCTACATTGGTGGCACCAAGCGGAGACGGCTTTGTAGAGCATCTGCGCTCTGTTCGCAACAAACAACACCACCTTCTGGTCGTGAATCATTTCAAAATTCCCCTCCCACTCCCTGGATGACATGTCCATCCTGGGCCTCCTCCAGTGTCACAATGACGCCATCCACAAACTGGAGGAGCAGCACCTCATATTCCGCCTCGGGAGCCTACAGCTCAATGGCCTAAACATGGAATTCACCAGTTTTAAAGTCTCCCTACCCCTGGCCTGATTCCGTGTCCAACCCTCCCTCTCATTCCCAGCACATTGACCTGACAACGTGTCCATCTTCTCTCCCGTCTATCCACTCCTCCCACCTCACTGACCAACCCCCACTATTCCCACCTGCACTCACCTATCACCATCCCACCTACCTTCCTCAGCCCCACCCCTCCTCTCTATTTATTTCTGAGCTGCCCTCCCCTCCCCATTTCTGAAGAAGGGTCCCAACTCGAAACATCGACTCTCCTGCTCCTCTGATGCTGCCTGGCCTGCTGTGTTCCTCCAGGTCCACACTGTGTTATCTCTGACTCCAGCATCGGCAGTTCTTACTATCTCATAGCTGGGAAAATGTTTGTTTATATGCAGAAGATAGGGTGAGGGGAGGGACTAAGCAGTAAACGATGGGTGGGGTTAGAGCATAAACCGAGAGAAGAGAGAGTTGGACAAAGGAGTTGCTAACGATCAGGCTGGGAGGGTGAGTAGTTGTTAATGGGGACTGTTAGTGGCTAACAACAGGGGGTGTGTAATGGCAGGCTATGTGATAACAAGGCCTGGTGTGTATGGTAGGGGGCTGGGACAAAGGAGACTGTTTTGTGGGATGATAGGACTAATGTTTGAAGAGAGACTGGATCAGTTAGAGTTATATTCACTGGAGTTTAGAAGAATGAGGTGGGGGAAGGGGTAGTGCAGATGTCACAGAAATGTACAAAATTCTATCAAGACTCGAGAGGGTAAACACAGGAAGGATGCTCTCAATGACTGGGTAGTCCAGAACCAGGGGTCACAGACTAAGGATTTGGGGTAGGTCATTTAGAACTGAGATGAGGAGAAATTTCTTCACCCAGAGAGTGGTGAGCCTGTGGAATTCTCTGCCACAGAAAGCAGTTGAGGCCAAATCTTTGGAAATTTTCTAGAAGAAGGTAGATATAGTTCTTAGGGTTAAAGGTTCAAAGGGTATGGGGAGAAAGTGGGAACAGGGTACTGATTGGGATGGTCAGCCATGATCATATTGAATGGGGGAGCAGGCCTGAAGGACTGAATGACCTACTTCTGCTCCTATTTGATATTTTTCTACGTTTCTAAGAAACTGTTTCATCTGAAAAGTGGGTCAGCGACCTAAGGGGACAGATTTAAGCTAATTGCAAAAGAGCCAGAGGAGTGGTGAGAAGGATTTGTTTTTGTACGGGGCAAGTGGTCATGATCTGAAATACATTCAATGGTATGTATTCAAGAGAGAATTAGACATATGTTTTAAGATGAAAGATTTGCAGGGCCACGGGAAAAGAGCAGGGGGTGGGACTGTTAAGAAAAGCACTTTTGAACATGCTCAGACATAATAATCTGAACGAGGAGCTCTTGCTAAATCACTGAACACTGAATCAGGGAGATTAATGTTAATGACTAATGCTGGTGATGATCTGTCGGTTGGTTACCAAAGGAGGTTTGACCTGTATAAGTAAAGCTCCTTGCTGATCAGATACAAACCTTTTCTTCCCTTGAACCTTTGGACCTAAATTTGAGGTGATCCCATCATTTTCAGTTTACCCCCGGGTAAGGCACTGCGCGGTACTAGTTAAGCATCTAGTGCTGCCATCTGCTGGAAGAGACTGAGAACAGCAAGAATCCTATAAATTGTTTTGGGCATTTTGGGGAAATATTCAGTGGTTTAGCAGCATATCACATTCTTTTTAAAATTTGTAAACAGACTTTGGAGAACAAAATCTGTATTGATCAGTACATTAGTAGATCATTTCCACAAATGTCGGATTTATACCCAGTATCCAAATTGAGACCTTTTATTCAGAGTATCCACCAAGTACAAACCTAGCCTGTCCACCCCTTCCTCATAAGGCAACACCCTATTCCAGGTATCCGCTAGGAATACCTTTTCTGAACTGCTTCAAATGCATTTACATCCTTCCTTATCTAAGCTGAGTCTAACCTTGGTGAAAGAATTCTGAAGGGCATAATATATCTGCACTGGAGAGACGCAGGTTACTCAGGGATAGTCAGTATAGATTTGTTAGAGGCAACAAAAACAGAAAATGCTGAAAAAGCTCCAATTTCTGAGAAGCACCACTCAACCCGAAATGTTAACTCTGATTTTTTTTTCCACAGTTGCTGCCAGGCCTGCTGAGCTTTTCCAGCAACTTTGTTTTTGTTTCTGATTTACAGCATCCACAGTTTGTTCCTTTTTTTTGTTAGAGGCAAGTCGCATTTGAAAAATTTGGTTAAATTTTTGAAAGGGTAACCAGAAGTGCTGCTGAGGGCAATGCATTTGATGCAGTCCATGTGGACTTTAGCAAGGTTTTTGATCAGGTTCCTCGCGGCACACTGGTTGGATCCAGAATTGGCTGAGAGGCAGAGGGTAAGGACAGAGGGATGTTTCTGCGACTGGAAGTCAGTTTTGGTTGAGGTTGCACAGCGTTCAATGCTGGGAGCCCTTGCTACTTGTGGTGAACAGTAATGATTTGGATTTAGATAAGGGGGTATGGTCAAGAGTTTGTGGATAACACACAGACTGGTTGGGTGGTAAACAGTAAGGAGGATAGCCCTAACCTGCCGGAGAAGATTAACAGACTGGTCAGATGGGCACAGCAGTGGAAAATAGAATTCAATCTTGGTATAGTGTGAGGGAATGCACTTGGGCACAAATAACAATGCAAGGGGTTACACCATGAGCGGTAGGACCCTAGGAAGTCAGAGAGATCTTGGTTTACCCTGAAACTTAGCAGGGCAGGTAGATATAGTGGTTAAGAAGGGATGCAGGATACTTGCCTTTATTATTTGAGTCATAGAATACAAGAGTAAGGAGGTTATGCTGGAAATGTATAAAACATTGGTTCGGCCACAACTGCAATACTATGCACAGTTCTGGTCCTCACATTATAGGGAGGATATGATTGCACTAGACGGGGTGCAGAGATTTACCAGGATGCTGCCTGGGCCGGGAGCTCTGAGATATGAGGAAGGATTGGATAGAATGGGATTATTTTCCTTGGAATAGTGAAGGTTCAGAGTAGACCTGATAGAGATCATGAGGTTATAAGGGGTTTAGATAAAGTGGAAAAGAAGACACTTCTTCTATTAGTACAGGTGCAGGGACTTATGTTAAGAGGTAGGTGGTTGTGAGGAGAGTTGAGGAGAATTTGTTTCAACCACAGTGTGATAGGAATCTGGAACTCACTGCCTGAAAGGATGGTACAGGTAGAAACTCTCATAACACTGAAGTAATATTTAGATACACACTTGCATTGCTATAGTCTGCAGGGCTATGGGAGAAAAGCTGGAAAATCAGATTATTGTTGCCCGAACGTTGTTGACAGGCACAGACAATGCTAGAATGACCTTCACGAGTCTATGAGAACTTACTCATTAACCCTGAGCTCAAACTGACCCAAAAACCCCGAACTTCACCTGATCCTTAGACATTGAATCTGAATTGACCCTGAACTATAATCCCAAACTGATCCTGAGCACTGATTGCAAGCTGATCCCTGAACCTTGAAGCTGAACTGATCCCTGAACCCTGCACCCAAACTAATCCCCTCACTCTGAATCTAAGCTGATTCTGGATCCTGATCCTGAACTATTCCCTGGATCCTGAACCCAAACAGGTCCCTGGATCCCGATCATGAACTGATCCCCGGACCCTGATCCCCAGACCCTGATCCTGAACTGATTGTTAAATACTGATCTGGAACTGATGCCTAAATATTGAACCTGAGCTCAGCTCCAAACCATGGGGGTTTCCTGCGCTGACTCCTGAAGCTTGAACTTGAGTTGACCCCTGACCCCTGAACGGACTGATCTTCAAACCCTGAGCCTGAGCTGACCCTAAACCAGAACTGACATCCAGACCATGAACCCAAGCGGACCCCAGGCCATGAAACCTAGTTAATCTCCAGACTGTGAACCCAAACTGACTCAGGGCCATTAACCTAAGCTGTGTGCAGCGTTTTGGTTAGAGCTGGGATTTGGCCCATGGACCCAGGTCAAGGGTCATCACTGAGCTCATTACCCATGAGTTTATTTATTCTGTAGAGTCCTGCTCTCGTTTGTTATTTGTGCAGATATGGGCGCGGGCTCTTTCCCCTGAAACTGCCCCAAGTTTCTAACCGGGAGAGTGTGAGGATGAGCAGTCAGCTGTACCCAAACAACACCCCCCAACTGAATCTGCTTGAACACAGAACCTGTGCAAAGTGCTTCATGGAGTCAAGATTCAAGTGGAAAGTACAAACAAGTTAAATGAATCAACTTGGAAACCACTGGACGACATTCCTTCTGGTGCCGTTACAATCTGTGTAGTCACGGATACAAGAGTATTGGAGTTGTTGATGGATGTGTCTCTATCAGTGCGTCCCCAACAGACTGAGACAAGAGGCGAGCTCTGGGTACTGTGCGCTGGTGTCACACACCTCCCACTGCCCTCTCTGGCTCTCACAGAGTTTGTTAATCCTGTAACTCACCCTCACCAATCTTGTAGGCAGGGCTGTGGGTCATCAGGTGGTAATGCACGCTGTTTCCTGTAGCAGTGACCTGCGCCACATAATACTCCGGGCCTTGCTTCTCCAGGATGCTGACAGTGCCTGGAGCGGATCTACAGGAAAGAGATCCATTAGCAGATTCCATAGGCATCCCAGCCCTCTCCCCGTATTGTCACAGAGGTCACAGTTGTTGAAGACAGGATGTGAGCTTCATTCAGGTGTTTGACAAAGAAAGCATTGCAGTGGGGATCGCAGCGAGGTGACCCAACATTCTGACCTCCCCGCTCCCCACCTCCAAACACATGGACGCTAGGACCTTACAATTCAAGCAGGAATTTAGTTAGCACCTTGATGCAGGCATCACAGACGACCAGCAGTGTGGAGCTGGTCAATAACCATAGGCACCAAGCTTGTCCACCTGATTGGGCCAGCATGGGGAAGGACAGATTGGTGCCAGGCGCAGGATGAGGCAGGGAGCCCGATGAAGGGTCCCAACCCGAAATGCCGACTCTCCTGCTCCTGTGATGCTGCCTGACCTGCCGTGTTCCTCCAGCCCCACACCGTGTTGAGCCTGAGGCGGGGAGCGTGGCTGATGCATTTTCCTGTGTCTGTTCTTGCTTCACTCCCCACCTCAGCCGCTGCACCTGTCTCACCATCCCTCTCACTCCTGAGATTGCCGCCCCCTCCACACTCGCCAACGTCCTCCCCAACAGATCAGTGAAGATTGCTGCCCTGCCAACTGCACAGACACCTTGAACTGCCAACACAAGCCCTGCTTTAAGCTGCAGTGAGACACCGCTGCTATGGTTATCAAGACCCACCCACCCTCACCATTGTGGGGATGTCAGTGATAACGCTGACTTATTGCTGCCGTGCTGGTTTTGCTGGCTCCTTTCCAGGGCACCCTTGACAATGAAAGCCCAGGAGGCCAATACTGGCATAGTCAGGGCATGTGGGTGATTGGACCTGCAGCCTTGGGTGATATGAGCTACACAGGAACGCTCCTACTCCGTGCAGAGGGTGTCAGTAGAGAACCAGTCCTCATTCTCACTCCTTGTGCTCCACAGGGAACTGAAGCCTGCAGGCTCAGCATTACACCTGACAGTGGCTCCTCCCCTGTCCACGTTCTAACACAGAGAGGGGCCACTGGCATGAGATTATTGGCCTCTGTAGAATCAGCGGGGAAAAGACAGGATGGGGCTGAGGGAGATTAAATCCCGTGTCATTGTTACAAATGCTATTATTTATCACTAACAATATTCTGAATTGCACTTCCAAGGACTAAGATTCTTCACTATAGGGAAGGAGGATGGAGATAGAGAACTCAGGAAGAGTGACTGAGGTTCCTGAGCACATTCAAAAAGAGACTAGATAGCTGTTGGAGGTTTTGGCGAGTTTAAAAGTGGACAAATCCCCATTTAGAGATGAGTTGTATCCTCGGCTGCTGCGGGAGACGAGGGAGGAAATTAAAGGGGCTCTGATACAAATTTATTATTGTTCTCTAGCCGCAGGGGAGGTGCCAGTGGATAGCTAATACTGTTCCACATATTAAGAAGGATGGTAGAGATAGACGTGGCAATTATAGACCGGAGAATCCCACATCAGTAGTAGGGAAATTATTCTGAATGAGAGAATTAAAATCTATTTGAAGGTGCAGGGTTTGATTGGGGTAGTCGGCAAGGCTTTGTCAGAGGGAGGTCATGCCTAGCATATCTGCTTGAAATTTTTGAAGAGGTGACCGGGTATGTATATGAAGGTAGGGCAGTTGATGTAGTTTATATGGATTTCAGCTAGGCCTTTGACAAGGTCCCACATGGGAGACAGACAAAGAAGGTAAAAGCACATGGGATCCAGGGAAACTTGGCAAGTTGGATCCAAAATTGGCTCAGTGGCAGGAGACAGAGGGTGGTGGTAGAAGGCTGTTTGTGTGACTGGAGGACAGTGTGCAGTCCTGGATCCATTACTGTTTGTGAGATATATATATATATGTGTATAGATGAGAATGTTAGGGTTGTCATGGGGCTAAAGTGATAAATAAATTTGCGGATGACATGAAGATTGGCCAGGTGGTTGACAATGAGGAAGAAGGCCTTAGGTTACACGAAGAGATAAACTGATTGGTCAGATGGGCAGATTAGTAGCAGACGGAGTTTAACCCGGAGCAATGTGAGTTGAAGCACTTTGGAAGAAGTAACAAGACAAAGGGGTATTCAATGAATGGCAGGACACTAGAAAGCTCAGAGGAACAACGATCTTGGGGTGCTTGTCCACAGATCCCGAAAGGTAGCAGGGCAGGGTAATGGGGTAGTTAAGAAGGCATACAGGGCTCTTGCCTTTAGCATTTGAGGTATAAATTATAAGGCAGGGGGGTTGTTTTACAGCTGTCCCCCTTAGTTGAAAGGTCAATAATGAAGAAGCATTATTTTAAGGTGGACATTCAGAGGGGATTTAAGGAAAACATGTTTCACCCCAGATGGTGAATCTGGGAGGGTAGTTGAGGCAGGAAACCTCACAATCTTTATAAAGTGCTTGGTTGAAATGATAATAACATTTATAGCTACAGGTCTAATGTGAGTGAGTGAAACGAGTGTCGATTTACAGTGATTTTGTATCAGTGCAGACCCAATGGGCCAAAATAAACTCTTCTGTAGTGTATGATTCTCTGAGACTCAGAGTGGAGGGAACAATAAAGTGCCAAGTCTCTCCCTTTAATGGAATCCACTTCTGAGGCAGTCATTAATCGTTTTCAGTGATTTTATTACAATGGGAAATGGCTACTTGAAAGGGGAGGGAGTGAGTGTACGTTAGGTTGCTGGGAAAACAAACGTCATCCGTTCACCTATCGTTCCTGGCAAGGAATTAATGGTGGAATGATGCCAGTAACAAACTCCAGTGATCTCACAGATAGATGGACAACTCGTGCATTTTGCCAAATATACCGCAGCTCCATTTATCCAGCCAGAACATGCAAACTCTTTCTGCAATGCACGTTCAAATGTAAAACCAGACATCCAGAGGCATTGTTCAAACAGGGGAGGACACAGAGAGAGAGAGAGAGAAAGAGAGGGAACACACACGGACAGAGGGAACACATGCACAGGGACAGAAGGATCAGACACACAAGGACAGAGGAATACACACACTGAGCGACAGAAATAACCCAGGGACTGATTGGGGAACGCTGGGTTTACTGAGAGGGAGAACTGTAGGAAATCAGTATAACTAGGAAAATGATATTGGGGAAATAGATGGGGGTTAAAGGCTGATTAAGCCTGAGGGCCCAATAATCTACATTCCAGAATATTTAAGGATGTGGCCCTGGAAAATGTGGATGCATTGATGGTCATCAATAAAGATTCCATAGAGTCTGGAACAGATCTTATGGATATTGGAGGGTAGCTAACATAACTGCACTGTTTTAAAAAAGGAGGAAGAGAGAACAGGAAATTAGAGACTGGTTCATCTGACATCGGTAGTAGGGAAAAAGCTAAGAGTGCATTAAAAAAGATTTAACTGCACATCAGTTGGGTAACAGTGACAGGATCAGACAGAATGAGCATGGCTTTGTGAAAGGGAAACCCCCATGCCTGACAAAGTTGAATTTTTCAGTGACGTAAGTAGTAGAGTTGATAAGAAGGAGCCAGTGGATGTGATTTACTGGATTTTCAGAAGGCTTTTGATAATGTCCCACAAAAGAGATTAGCATGTAACATTAAATTGCATGTGGTTGGGGGTAGTGGATGGACATGGGTAGAGAACCAGCTGGTAGACAGGAAACAAAGAGTAGGAAGAAATGGGTCTTTTTTCTGAGTGACAGGCAGTGGGGTACCATAGGGATCTGTGTTTGGGATCCCAGCTGTTCACAATGTATGTCAATGGTTTGGATGGGGGCACTAAATGTAATATCTCCAAGACACAAAGCTGGGTGGGAGGGTAAGCTGTGAGGAGGATGCAGAGATATTGAGTGTAATTTAGACAAGTTGAATGAGTGGGTAAATGCATGGTAGGTGATGCATAATGTGGATAAATGTGAGGCTACCCACTTTGATGGCATAAAGAGGAAGGCAGATTATGATCTGAATGGTGATAAATTGTAAAGGGAGTGGTGCAATGAGATTGTGCACCAGTTGCTGAAAGTAAGAATGCAGGTGCAGCAGGCAGCGAAGAAGGCAAATGGTATGTTGACCTTCATAGTGAGAGGATTTGGGTATAGGAACAGGGATGTCTTGCTACAGCTGTACAGGGCCTGGGTGAGATCACACCTGGGGTATTGTGTGCACTTTTGGTCTCCTTAGCCGAGGAAGGACGTTTGGGCTTGGGAGGGAGTGCAACAAAGTTTTATCTGTCCACAAAAATAATCCTGAGCTTTCTGTTGCCTGTCGCTTCAACACACCACTATGTTCCCTGGCAGACATTTCTGTGTCAGTTCTCCAGTGAGCCTCAGCACAAGCTGGAAAAAAATAGCATTGCATTTTCCACTGCAGTCTTCAGGACACGATATCTAGTTCCGTAATATTAGAATCTGTCCACCTTCTCCCATGTCCTTTCCCCACTCCCACACATCAGGCCCTTCTAGCACAGCCAACCCTTTTTCACTGACTAATGGTTGCCATGATCATCTTTCCTTCTTCCCTGGCTTACTACCTGCAGTGATTGTAACAGGGTCAGCCAGGTTGATCTCATAGAAAATGAGTTACCTGTTTGGGGCAGTTAATCTGGTCCAATCAGGGAGCCCTGGCTGACGGATAAGAACAGGAGTGTCAGAGGTTGTGTTCACTCAGAGCTGGCTATAAAAGAAGCTGGATCAGTGTCAAGGACTCTCCACATGTAAATAAAGACTGACTGGTGACAGAATTCTGGCCTCTGTGGAATTATTTCAGTGGTGACAAGAGAAAAAAATACCCTTCTGAAGAAATTTGCTCGCAATAGTCATCTTTGAGTTGGGGCAAGCTGTTCTGGCATCATGCCGTTATTTGGGAAACTTGATTCATTTGATCCTGCCATCAAAGACTAGGACCAGTATGTGGAAAGAATGTGTTCTTTTTTCCAGGCAAATGACATTGGGACAGATGAAAAGAAATATGTAATTCTTCTGATAGCTTGTGGATCTGCA